GTCTTGCTTAGCAATAGGCTTGGGGCTCAATTGTGGCCTTAAGTCGAAGATTACCTGTAGTGCAACCAACCAAGAAAGATTCGGTTATAATTGTCTAAAATTGCAATCACAGACTAATAAAGGAGAATATTTCTAAGTCAGAGTTGACATGAAGGGTCCTTGGGACTCTATGAGGTTGTTTGTTTTATTGTAGATGTTTTAGTACCCAGACTAGGTAACGTCATCAGTGCTAGTGATGGGGACTGGAGGCTAAAACATGTAAAGAACAGTTGCAAGAATTAGTTAAGTCTAGTCTAATGAAGAGAAGGACGAGGGCTGACATGATAGCAGTGTTCCAATATCTCAGGGGCTGCCCCAAAGAAGAGGGAGTCAAGCTATTCTCCAAAGCACCTGAGGGCAGGACAAGAAGCAATGGGTGAAAACTAAACAAAGAGAGAAGCAACCTAGAACCAACAGTTAGAATAATTAATCCTGACAGTGAGAACAATTAACCAGTGGAACAACCTGTCTCCAGAAGCTGTGAATGCTCCAACACTGGAAGTTTTTAAGAGACTGGACAGCCATTTGTCTGAAATGGTATAGGGTTTCCTGCCTGAGCAGGGGGTTGGACTAGAACAGGCATGTCAAACTCGCAACGTCACGTAACATCGCATGATGTATCGGGACTTTTTCCCCATTGCCGGGAATGGGGTGGGCGTGGTTTTGGTGTGACGCATCCGGCCAGTGGGCCAGCAGTTGACATTCCTGGACTAGAAGATCTCCAAGGTCTCTTCCAACTCTGTTATTCTGTTATACTCTAGGGGTAGGCAACCTCAGCTCTTTTATGATTCATGGACTTCAACTCCCAGAATTCCTGACTCACCCATGCTGACTCAGGAATTCTGGGAGTTGAAGTCCATGAGTCATAAAAGAGCCGAGGTTGCCTACCCCTGCTCTAGGGCACCAGAAGGCAGGAGAAGTAATGGGTGGAAGCTTGGTCAACGACAGATACAAGAAGACCTCCAAGGTCCCTTCCAACTCTGTTATTCTATTCTATTCTATTCTATTCTATTCTATTCTATTCTATTCTATTCTATTCTATTCTATTCTATTCTATTCTATTCTATCCTATCCTATCCTATTCTACTTACTCTTCTCTTCTCTTCTATTCTATTTTTCTCTTCTCTTCTCAGCCCACATTCTCTTCTCTTCTCTTCTAATTCTATTCTATTCTCTTCTCTTCTATTCTATTTACTCTTCTATTCTCTTCTATTTACTCTTCTCTTCTCTTCTATTTACTCTTCTCTTCTCTTCTCTCTTCTCTTCTCTTCTCTTCTCAGCCCATATTCTATTCTATTCTATTCTATTCTATTCTATTCTATTCTATCCTATCCTATCCTATTCTACTTACTCTTCTCTTCTCTTCTATTCTATTTTTCTCTTCTCTTCTCAGCCCACATTCTCTTCTCTTCTAATTCTATTCTATTCTCTTCTCTTCTATTCTATTTACTCTTCTATTCTATTCTATTTACTCTTCTTTTCTCTTCTATTTACTCTTCTCTTCTCTCTTCTCTTCTCTTCTCTTCTCAGCCCATATTCTATTCTATTCTATTCTATCCTATCCTATTCTATTCTATTCTACTTACTCTTCTCTTCTATTCTATTCTATTTTTCTCTTCTCTTCTCAGCCCACATTCTCTTCTCTTCTAATTCTATTCTATTCTCTTCTCTTCTATTCTATTTACTCTTCTATTCTATTCTATTTACTCTTCTCTTCTCTTCTATTTACTCTTCTCTTCTCTCTTCTCTTCTCTTCTCAGCCCATATTCTATTCTATTCTATTCTATTTTATTCTATTTTATTCTATTCTATTCTATTCTTTGATGCACTGATCATCGGTGACTTTGTGGCTAGCACAAGCAAGCTCAAAGAGTTCCAAGGACTCCCCCGCTCCTTCCATGCAATCACAGAACTGGAAGATTACATCCACGATTCAATGTTCATTTAGTGCAAAAATCCAAATTAAAGCATCTCTGACCCCAGTGTCTGTCCAACGTCTACTTAAATACATCCAGTAAGCTGGAGATCCTAAACTCTTTCACTGGTGTCCAGAACAGTTCCTCACCTACACTCAGAATCTCCTTCCCTAGATTTTTAAGTACTCAGTCAGCCTTTTGCGCCCTAGGATGACAGAGAGCAGGTCTTGATCTTTCTACATGGCATCAACCTAGTCTCTCTTTCTCCTACTGTCCTCCTCTTGACTCAGAGGCAATCATAGGTAGTCCTCCACATACAACAGTTCATTTAGTGACTGTTCAAAGTTACAACAGCACTGAAAAGAGTGATTTAGGACAGTTTTTCACATTTGCAACTCTTGGAGCATCCCCACGGTCACGGGATAAAAATTGGGACTCCTGGCAACTAACTGACTCATATTTATGACCGTTGCTGTGCCCCGGGCGGGTCATGTGATCACCTTTTGTGACCTTTCAACAATGGGGAAAGCCAAATTCACTCAACAACCGGGTGACCAACTTGTCAGCTGTGGTGATTCACTTAACAACGGTGGCAGGAAAGGTCTAAAATGGCGCAAAACGCACTTAACAAATGTCTCGCTTAGCAACAGAAATATTGGGCTCAGTTATGGTCAATAGTTGAGAACTACCTGCATAGAGTGTACAGGTCTCTTCAGTTTCCCACTGCAATTTAATTTGTAGCTTCTTGCTTATTTCTTTGCACTCCTCTGCACTGGTTCCAGATTCCCTGGTAATTTCATTATGATGCTGCATCGGGATGTAACCTAGAGGTCCCCAAACCTTTGGGCATCAGGGACCGGTTACATCAGGGGTCTTCAAACTCGGCAACTTTAAGACTTGTGGACTTCAACTCCCAGAATTCTTCAGCCAGCCAGCCAGGGCTGGCTGGCTGAGGAATTCTGGGAGTTGAAGTCCACAAGTCTTAAAGTTGCCGAGTTTGAAGACCCCTGAGTTACGTGGAGAAAGGTTTTTCCACGGACCACAGAGTGCGCGGTTTTGTGTGCTGCCCGCGTCCCGCGGATGGGGCTTTGCTTGTTTGTGAGGACCGGCTGCTGGACCAGAGGTTGGGGATCCCTGATATGACCCTCCAAGTTGCTCTGCCAATTAGAATGGATGTACAAGTAGATCCTCAATTTACGACCATTCTTTTAGCAGCTGTTCAAAGTTACGACAGTGCTGGAAAAAAAGTGAATTACCTCCAGTCCTTAGAGTTATGACCTTTGCTTTCCCCCCTCCCCTCCCCCCCGTTCCAAGATCAAAATTTGGGCACTTGACAATCGGCATGTATTGACAACGGTTGCCGTGTCCTGGTTCACATAACGACTATTTACAACCTTCCCAGTTAATGGAGGAAGTTGGATTTTCTTATCAGTCGCATGATTTGTTAACCCCTTAGCAAAAAAAAGGAGAAAAAAAATCAGCTATGGTCACATGACTCGCTTAATGACTGTATTGCTTAGCAAAAGAAGCTCGGGTCCTAACTGCTATCATTAAGTCGAGAACTAACTGTATTACTTCCCATGACTGGGAAATCAAATGTCTATGGATGCAGTATAAAATTGTACTGATCTTGTTTGCAGCACCATCACATTGCTGGCTCATGTTCTGTTCAACGATTCCAGGGATGTCCATAGGGTGTGGTCCAAAAAATTAAGATGGTGACTCTCTTGACTTGTTTGACCAGACCCTGCACATATCCCTCACACCAACAGCCTTATTGTATAGCCTATCACAAGCCAATCCTTTTCCTGTACATTTGATTTTGCTTCCCTACACAAGGATGTATCTGTCTGTCTGTTTGTCTATTATCTCTCTCATCTATCTATCTATCTATCTATCTATCTATCTATCTATCTATCTATCTATCTATCTCATCTATCTGTCTATCTATTTATCTATCTATCTTTCTATTATCTCTCTCATCTATCGTCTGTCTGTCTATTTATCTATTATCTCTCTCATCTATCTTGTCTGTCTGTCTGTCTATCTATCTATTCATCTGTTTTTAAAAATATTTTAGCTTATAATATAAAATACAAAAAAACAAAAACAAATAGTATGGAACAAAGGACTTTTAAAAACATCCATCCATCCATCCATCCATCCATCCATCCATCCATCCATCCATCCATCTATTTATCCATCCATCCATCCATCCATCTATCTATCTATCTATCTATCTATCTATCTATCTATCTATCTATCTATCTATCTATCTATCTATCTATCTATCTATCTATCTATCTATCTCACATATCATCTAACTATCAATTTATACAGCCACCCAGCTCACCAATGTTGGGCAGAGCACAACAATGAGATTAAAAAAAAACTTTGCTGTTCTTCCTATTCATTTTCATCCTGTTAATTTCAGCCCACTAATGTAGTCCAACTTACTGAAAACTTTTGAAATACCACTTCTGTTTTCTAGAGCCTGAGCTGAGTCAAGTTTGACCCCCATCTACTTCTTCGGGTTCCCTCTCCACCTTTCACAGCTACCGCCAAGTAGCCTTTCCAATTACCGAAAAGCGAATTTCGTTTCGGCAAGAAGACTCACCGGGCAACCTCACCGGTAGCGGCAGAAAGCAAGGACCGCCTTAAATTGGGGCTGCGCGCGGGGGGGGTGTATTTCATCCCCGAATGCAACCCTTGAAAATACCTCCTCGTTGGCGACTTCCAGCTGCTTTTTCATGCAAAGAGGAATCTTCCCTTGGGAAGACTCGGGACGCCCGGAGGGGCTTCGATGCCCCCTCAAAACCCGCCCCGGGGCCGCAGTTGTGGTCCAGGCTACCGGATGGGGTGGGGGGACTGGAGGGGACGGGAGAGGCTCTGTTCACCGGGGATGGACTCTGCCTTCCATTATCCCTGACCGCTGGACGTATCGCCCGGGAGTCTCGTGGGACTGGGGTCTGCAGGGCATCGGCTGTGGGGGGGGGGTCGCCGCCGGTCCCCTCCGCCCACCCCGCTCCCTCCTTCCCCGCTTACCTCTGCCGCCGTGGCCGTTGAGGGCGCCGAGAGGTTTCCGAGTTCCTGAAAGCCGAGTTGGGGCTCTGGGTTTTAAAGTGATAACAAGAATCAGGCAGGTGGGCCCCGCAACCCCATCCCGCGCGGCTTGTCCCCACTGCCGATCCCTCCCCTCCCAAAAGAGTTTAAAAAAAAAAATAAAAAAATCGGAGTTTTTCTTCTTTCTCGCCAGCGCAGGGAGAGCCCCCGTCTCCACGCGCGAGAGAGTCCGCGCGGATGGCCCCTGCAGTTTTTTTTGCCCCGCGGGTGGGTCTCCCTTTCTTGGGTGGGAGGGAGGGGAACCCCGGAGGAGGAGGAGGAGGAGGCAAGAGGGGAGGCGAGGCGAAGGGGTCCGCGGAGGTGCGAGCTGGGAGCCCCGCCACGCTCCTTCTGCCAGCTCCGGGCTGAGCCCCGCTTGCCAAGGCGCGGAGGAGGCGGCGGAGGCGGCGGAGGAAAAGTTCGGGACGACTCGGCAGCCGGCAGTGTGGCGCAGGCGCCTTGTGACCCAACCCAGCCTTTTTGTCAAGATTTTCCCCGGCTGGGCAAATGCCCCTCCCCTGCCTCCATAATAACCCCCCTCCGCATTCTTCCCCCCCTCCTTGCCCCCCCCCATCTTGGTGCACCGCCCGTCGCTCCCTGCGCATCCAGCGGCTGATTCGGAGTCGCCGCTTTTCTCTGGTCCCCAAAACTCATCCATGCGCGTCTGGGTGGAAGCATGAAAGAAATGTATGAAAAGCCTCTCGCCCCTCACTCAGAAGCAACGAAAAGGAACCCCCCCCCATCCCCGACCACTCACTCCAGTTTTCTCTTTCCTCCCCCCATCCCCGACCACTTTCCTCCACTTTCTCTCCCCCCATCTTCTCCCACTTTCTCCCACTTTCTCTCCCCCCCATCCCCGACCACTTTCTCTCCCCCCATCGTCGACCACTTTCTCCCACTTTCTCTTCCCCATCTTCTACCACTTTCTCCCACTTTCTCTCCCCCCATCTTCGACCACTTTCTCCACTCTCTCTTTCCCCCATCCCCGACCACTTTCTCTCCCCCCATCCCCGACCACTTTCTCCCACTTTCTCTCCCCCATCTTCTACCACTTTCTCCCACTTTCTCTCCCCCCATCCCCGACCACTTTCTCTCCCCCCATCCCCAACCACTTTCCTCCACTTTCTCTCCCCCCATCGTCGACCACTTTCTCCCACTTTCTCTCCCCCATCTTCGACCACTTTCTCCCACTTTCTCTCCCCCCATCTTCGACCACTTTCTCCCACTTTCTCCCACTTTCTCTCCCCCCATCTTCTACCACTTTCTCCCACTTTCTCTTTCCCCCATCCCCGACCACTTTCTCTCCCCCCATCTTCGACCACTTTCACCCACTTTCTCTCCCCCCGTCGTCGACCACTTTCTCCCACTTTCTCTCCCCCCATCGTCGACCACTTTCTCTCCCCCCATCTTCGACCACTTTCACCCACTTTTTCTTCCCCCCATCCCCGACCACTTTCTCTCCCCCCCATCGTCGACCACTTTCTCCCACTTTCTCTCCCCCCCATCCCCTACTACTTTCTCAGATTTTCTGTCCCCCATCCCCAACTACTTTCTCCGACTCTCTCTCCCTCCCCCCCAACCCCTTTCTCCGACTTTCTCTGCCCCCCACCCCTGACCACTTTCTCCGACTTTTTTTTTCTCCTCCCCCCCCCCCGCTGTTTCACTTTCCTGAGCCTGGTTCCCCTCCGGCCCCTCCACTGACAGCCAGAGGTGCCTTAAAAGAGCGCACGACATTTGTGGACGCTTCCCTGCTCTACCTCGACCCCAGAAAGGCCAACGGGGTGATGGGGGGGGGGAGTTGCGGGCGAAGGAGAGGGAGAAGGACGGAAGCAAGGGGAAGCAGAGGTTGCCTCTCGCCGTCCGTTTTAAGACGCTGGGCGCGTTGAAAGGGGACATTCCGCCAGGAGCGGCGGGGGGGGGAGGGCGAGCAGGAAAAGGAATGAATGGCGCTTGGAATGCCATTGGGGTCCTTTTCCTTCCCCAAGGACGCGTAGGAGGGCGCCGGGGTCGCCAGCCTCGCTGCGGGTTTGCTGGGAAATAAGTTCCATGGAAACGGGGGTAAACAGGCGCCGGGGGTGGGGTGGGGCTTCACTAATGGAAAGTCACGCACCCTTGATCATCTGGGTCAATGGAACAACCGCTCGACTGGGCGGGGGGCGGGGGGAAAGACAGACCGGCAGGCCGACAACGCACAGCTTACATTTGCGGTTGCGATCTTGGGGATGGGGACCGCGATGGCTGGGGGACCCTTGCTTCACCCCATCTAGGATCTCTAAGGAGGGGAGAAAAGTTCCTTATGGGAAATTCAGGGATGAGGCAGCAGCCGCTGCGGTCGTTGCTTGTTGCTGCTGCAGGGAAGTCTGAACAAGTTGGTTCTAGAGATGACTTTATATTGATAGTGGATGCACCTTTGAAGACCCCATACAGTTACCCAGAAGAGTTACGCTTGACCTGTTCACATGACACCCTTCACAGGTCCCAGGCAAAGCTGTTCTGAGCCAGGCTTCAATTCCTAGACTGGAGAAGCTGTTCCTCGTTTAGTTGTTGTTATTAATTGCAAAGACCCCATGAACAACGTTCCTCCAGGTCTTCCTGTCCTCTACCATCTTCTGGAGTCCATTTAAGTTCACACCTACTGCTTCAGTGACTCCATCCAACCATCTCATCCTCTGTCGTCCCCTTCTTCTATTGCCCTCAATCTTTCCCAGCATTAGGCCCGTCTCCAGTGAGTCCTTCCTTCTCATTAGGTGGCCAAAGTATTTGAGTTTCAACTTCAGGATCTGGCCTTCTAAAGAGCAGTCGGGGTTGATCTCTTCTAGGACTGACCGGTTTGAACGCCTTGCAGTCCAAGGGACCCGCAGGAGTCTTCTCCAGCACCATAGTTCAAAGGCCTCAATTCTTTGGCGCTCAGCCTTTCTTATGGTCCAACTTTCACAGCCATACATTGCAACTGGGAAAACCATGGCCTGGACTATACGCACTTTTGCTGGCAGGATGATGTCTCTGCTTTTTAGCATGCTGTCTAGATTTGCCCTAGCTTTCCTCCCCAGGAGCAAACGTCTTTTAATTTCTTGGCTGCAGTCCCCATCTGAGGGGATCTTGGATTTGGAAAACGCAAAAGCAGGACATGAATGGGTGGACTGAGGCCAATTTATCACTGAAGGAAGAGCCAACATAAACTAAATCAGGTTAGGCAGGTTAGTGGGCAATGCCTCCTCTGCTCCCATGATCAAGCTCTTTCTGGCATAAGAGAAATGAAACAAGGAGTCCTATAGTTCTATCTAGAAAAACTCCTCACAAGCCTTGGAGTCTGTTTATGGAAGGTCATAACCCGAGGACTACCTATTGGCAATTTTCTGGTAAATCAAAAGTAATATGAAGTCACTAAGTGTGGGTTTATCAATGCACATTGTCTACCTTTATTTATACTTTTTTTTAAAATAAACTTTATTGGTTCTTAAAACATAAATCACATAATAGTTGATTAACAGTGTGTTTGCCTGGCTTACATTTACAAAGGAAAATCGTCAACAATTAATATCTATAATCCATAATTCACGTGTCCACAAAAATGTTTCTTTTTCTTTTCCAGAGATATTCTCTCTGATAGTTCCCATCATCAATATTCTTAATTTTCACTTTAATATTTAAATATTTTCCCATTAATCAGTATCATGCTTGATCAATGTGTTTTGCTGAATTGGAGCATTTTTCTCTCTGTTTTTTCCCAACCAATCATTTGTTCCAGATTTCATGAAAAATACAGCATTCATATCTGCATTTTTTTGCTGTTACTGTTAAGTTCAGGATTAGGATAGGATAGAGCAGTGGTTCTCAACCTGTGGGTCGGGACCCCATTTGGGGTCGAACAACCATTTCACGGGGGTTGCCAAACAACGCAGTCCACCATTTTTTTCCCCTTTTCCTTAGCTGTGCCACTCCCTTTTATTCTATTGGCTTTTGAAAGCCAATAGAATAGACTCTCTTGAATAGGGTCTAATTCTATTGGCTTTCAAAAGTCAATAGGAATTGTCCAGGCTGTCTCTGCCCTGCTGAGCCCGCCAAAAGTCCCATTCTGCAAACGGTACTGCACCAGTTGAGTAGTCCTCAACTTACGACCGGTTGGGGGTCGCGGCATTAAAAAGATTGAGAACCACTGGGATAGAAAATACAAACTAGACTAGAATAAGGATAGGATAGGATAGGATAGGATAGGATAGGATAGGATAGGATTGGATAGGATAGGATAGACTGGAATAAGGAATATAGAAACTAGACCAAAATACAATAGAATAGAATAGACTATATAGACTATAGACTAGACTATGGAATATGGAATATAGAGCCTAGACTAGACTAGACTAGGCTTGACTTGATAGAACAGAACAGAACAGAATAGCACTTAGATTTATTTACTGCGGAATGTAATTTATTCCAACTTTGGCTACACTATAGATTTAACCGTTTGTAGCGTGATTTCCAAAGATCTAGGTACAATCTGGAACCCAGGTTAAGGCTTCCAATGAATGTTTTCACAAGGAAGTTTGAAAGCCCAACCCAGCCAAAGGTTTGGCACAAGTTCCTGTCTTTGCCACCTGGAACAGGATGTGGCAATGACGAAGGTTTCAAAAATTCCATGGTTAGCTAAAGTCTATTGTGGCAGACGAACATGCTGAGGTTTGCCATGTTCGGGGGGGGGGGTACCAGCTGCAGCACGATGAATCACTGAGATAGCAAAGAAACCAAACTTGCCAAATGCAGGTACAGCATCGTGCTCAGCCCGGCAAAATTTCAGAATGAGTCCATAACTGAAGCTATTGTGAATGCTCCAACCCTGGAGGTTTTTAAGAAGAGACTGGACATTTTTCTGAAATGCTATAGGGCAGTGATGGCGAACCTTTTAGAGACCGAGTGCCCAAACTGCAACCCCAAACCCACTTATTTATTGCCGGGTGCCAGGTGGCCCACTGAGTGGGCGTGGCTGTGGTGGTCATGGCAGACTGGGTGGGTGTGGCCAAGGTGGGCGTGGTCACCTTGATGTTGCTCATGGGGAGGGACGTCTGTGGGGGCCGGGCAGGGTTGGGGGAGATCCAGGGGGTCTCTGACAGGTGGGGTGGTGGGTAGGAGGTTCATCCTATTGGATGAGGCAAGGCAGGGTGGGGGTGCCATTATCTCAGGGCAAGGCAAAGCAGGGGCCGGGGCAACTGCTGCCTGACACCATCGGCCCCCGCACACAGAGGCCAGCGAGTGCATGGGGGCCGACTGTGTCCGTCAGCAGCCACAGCCTGCCGTCCCCTCAACTGGCACACTCTGGGGCTCCGCTGCCCACCACCAGCAGTTCAGAGAAATTCCCACAGAGAGGGCTCTGAGTGCCATCTCTCGCACGTGTGCCTTAGATTCGCCACCACTGGTATAGGTTCTCCTGCTTGAGCCGGGGGCTGGACTAGAAGACCTCCAAGGTCCCTTCCAACTCTGTTGTTCC